TGCTCCCTCGTGGGCACTGCCTGTGAATAGTTGGCATTTGTTAATGCTTACGAAATGTCTATGTATGGCAGACATGCCTAATTTTAATCCTCACAATCAGGTGGGTACTATCTAGTCATCTTAGACAGGTGAAGTCATTTGCCACAAATCATACAGCTAGGAGAAAGTGGAGATGTGCTTCAAACCCAGATTTGTTTGACATAGCAGTGAGAATTCTCTAGATTGTGATAACCACAGCATCCGAATTAGGGCCATAGGGTGGGTGGGGCCCAGTTCTTGGGCCAGAGCTGCCTGTTCCAGGGGCAGCGTGGATGGGAATGATGCATTTAAATGTTGACATAATGAAAGTTCTCCATTCCTGCAGTCTTGCTCAAGAAATCAAGTCCGCAGTGAAGTACTGGCCATTGACTTAGCCCGGGTTCTGGATTTGGGACCCATCACCCGGAGAGGTAAGTGGCCAAGGCCTGGTGACCACACCAGTCGACCAAGTGTTGACGCAGATGCCTGGGGTCACCAGCTCAACTCCTTAGGGCTTTTGTGCCGCTTCAGTCTGGCCTGCACAGGCGAATCTATTCCATGGGGTGCTCTGGGTAATAATAAAAACACTGCCATTTGTGGTGGACCTCCTGTGTGCCAGAGGCCAAGCTAAGCTCTTGCATCCATCAATTCCCTTAATCCTCCCATGACTGTGTCCATTTTACAGATAAGAAGCCAAGACTCAGAGAGATTAAGTGACTCACCCAAAGATAACCCTGCTCGTGAGTGGCTGGAGTTAGGATTGAACCCAGCTCAGTCTGATTCCAAAGCACCTGCATCCAGGTCCCCAGAACTCAGTCCCTTTGGGGTGAAATCTAAGTCCTAACTCCCATTTACATGCAGCTTTGTTTCCTAGTGAGTGACTGTGTTTTTCAAAGTTCAGTTAGAGTATTCTGGAGTATGATATAGGGGAAGCTTTCCAATTGCTCCTCAAATTTTCATCCGTCCTACTCACAGATAAGCAGTACTGTCACGGTTTTTATTTCCACCAGAATGGAGAAGTCAAGAAACTTAAAAGAATGAAAGCATTTTTTTTACCCCTAAAAAAATTAAGATGCAGTAATATTAAAAATAGTAACAATAATAATAATTTCTTTGTGGCTGGCACTGTGCCAAACACCTTTCTACGCATTGTCACTTTGAATATGTACAACAGCCCAAGGTAAGCCCTGTTACCTCTTCCGTTCTCCAGATGAGCAAACGGAGGCCAACTTGAGACGACAACCCCACCCTGAATTGTCCTTCCCTTTTACTGAGCCTTCAACTTGAAGCCTCATGTGGTGTCACAGGGTAACGGGGGTGGGGGCAATTAGGAACTTCTACTTTCAAATCAGACACACTGGGGTTTGGATCCCAGCTCTGCTACTGACTGGCAAGGTCAGCTTGGCAAGTCCCTTTAACGTTGCTGAGTCTCGGTCTTCTTATCTGGCAAATGGGAATGAGAATACTTTCCTCGCAAATCTGTTAAGAGGATTAAATTTAAATTGCGTGCAATGTGTTTAGAAAGGTGCCTGCCAGGTAACAGATGCCTCCACAATGTGGATTGTCAGTGGTTGCGATGACAAGGTGTGGGGCGGCTATGGCTTCAGGGCTGCGATCACCGGAGCAGGACTGAGGAAGCTGTCACCTTCTACTCTCGTTCACAGGTGCCCAGTCTCCCGGTGTCATGAATGGAACGCCCCGCACCGCAGGTACCCCATCGCCTCATGCCTTTCCCACAACCCTCCCAGCTCTCTCTCCTTCCTCTTTGCAATTCAGTGCACATTTATTCAGCCCCTTTTGTGTGCCAGACCCTATGCTAACGACTGTGACGGACACTGCCATGAATCACAACCAAGACTGGCTCTTGAGATGCTCACAGTCTAGCAGAGGAAACAGTCCTTTAATGACAGATGTTTATTGAGTGCCTACTGTGTGCCAGGCGTTGTTCTAGTACCTGAAGATGTGATGGTGAACAGGACAGACCAGGCACCTGCCCACATAGAGCTTGTGTTCCAATGAAGAGAAATAGACAATAAAAAGTAAACAAAGAAATTTAGAAATAAAAGGTTACTGGCGAGGTAACAATGCCTTAAATGAGATAGAAGTTTATTTCTCTTACACGTAAATTAAGTCTAGAGGGAAGCCATCCAAGGCTAGAAGGGTGATACCACGAAGTCATTAAAGATCCAGACTCCTTCCAGCTCACACCTCCACTGTCTTGGAGGTGTGTCCATCACCTTCATGGTCCAAAGTGGCAGCCAGAGCACCAACCTTTGCTTCATCAGCAGCAGGATGGAGGGAACGAGAAGCCAGCGAGTATTAAGAAACATTCCTGGAAGCTGGCACTTTATACCTCCACTCACATCTCACTGCCCAGTGCTTAAGCACGTGGCCACACTTGGCTACAAAGGAAGCTGGGAAATGTAATCTTTAGTTGGGGTGGCCATGTGCTTAGCCAATATTTGGTGGTTTTATTATGAAAGTAGGAAGGAAGAGTGAATATCAGAGTGGATAAGTGGTCAGAAGAACTTTCAGAGGAAGTGCAAAAAGGAGTCAGATATGCAAATGTTAGGGGAATGAGCCCTATAGGCTCAGAGACCAATAATTCATTGTACAAATGAGACAAGCACATAGGCAAACAAATGACAAGCAAGTAGATACAGAAAAGAGTACACAGAAGACTAACTGTATTGGATAAGGTCTGGAAAGAATTTCGCCAGGTAGTAACATCTGAATCGGGTTTTGATGAATGACTCAGCGTTCAACAAGCTGACAAATGAAAGAAATATATATATATATACATATATATAAAATATTCATACATATTAGAAATATATTTTGGACAATGTGGAAAGCATGTACTGTTTAGATTTCACTGTTCCCCAAAATGACCTATATTGGTGAACCTACACATGAAAAAGTTCGTTCAATCCTCAAATCTCCAGTTAGACAGCAGCCTAAAATTTTCCCAGATAGGTGTAAGATGGCCCCTCTGTGCTCAGTGCTAACATTCAGACAATGCTACGAAAAGTAACGCTCATTGGCAAGAGTGGTTAAAGCTCAGACTAAAAGCAGCTTGAAGTCAGGGACCTCAGGTCTCATTCATTTCTGCAGGTCAGCACAGTGCCTAGAACAGCGTGGCGTCCCAGTAGAATTTGCCGAATGGACAAATTTCTAGGGTGGGCGGTGGATTTCGGAGCCTTCTGGAAGAGGAGGGAGGGTCATTCTGATGTTGAGGTAGTAGACCACCACAAGAGGGCACTTGTGGTTTTCATTGTTTGCTGTCTCCCACAGTCATTTTCAATGTTTTAGGATTAATCGAACATAAACCTACGTTTTATATATAAACTGGTTGCCATACACTTACATGTTTCTGGAAATTGTGATATTCCTCTCCCCACTTCCAGGACATCAGCAAGTTACTTTGCAATTGGGAGGATGGAGAGAGGTTATAATTTGGTAGTATGGTGGGAGGGTGCACATGCTTCTCCTAGCCCCCTGATACGAGGCAACTAATCCAATATTCATGCCTTTCATTAACTCTGATTATACGGCCAGAGAGATATGATCCTGGCCAAACCAGATCATAGAGTCTAATTTTCAAAACCAACACTTAACGTAGTGTTTACCCTGTGCCGAGCACTGTTCTAAAAGCTTGATATGTATTCACTCATTTAAACCTTACAGCAATTCAATGAGGTCATAGGTGCTAGTAATATTTTTTGTTTTGCATACTAGAAAACTCAGGAACAGAGAGGTTTAATAACTTGATGAGAACGGCCCAGCTAGTTGTAGAATTGAGATTCTAAGCTAACAGTCAGGCCTCAGAGGTGATGCTTTTAAATCTTTCTGCCTCTTTAGTATTAGTCAGCATAAGTAATACCAGCTGCTGTAACAAACAGTCCCTGATCTTCTGTGCCTTTACACAAAAGTATCATTTCCCATCAAATCACTGGGGGCACTGAGGGGCGGGTAGGGTGCAGTCCTGCTCCATGCAGGAGCTCAGGCTCCTAATACCTTCTGGTAACTTCTGCCAACTGCAGTATCCCTTGCAAGTGCTAGCATGGATCCTTTGCATCTGGGCCACATCTCATTGGCCAGATTCAGTCACATGGTCCCACCTACCTGCAAAGGAGGCTGGGAAAAATTGCATTCCTGTGTGCTCAGAGGAAAATGAAAAAAGTGGTTGGTGATTAGATAGCTTTGTATCCACCACACAACTCTCAGAGCTGTAGCCCAGGCCAGACAGTAAAGATGCTCTGTCTTTCTCATCCCTGTAGGGCAAAAGACAAGGGGGCCATCTTGCATTTGCTGCTGAGTTCCAAGGCCTGACACTTGACAGTCATCTCTCTTGTGTTTCAGGGTTCCTGGTGGCCTGGCCCATGACGCTCCTGACTGTCCTCCTGGCTTGGCTGTTCTGAGGGCTCAGCTGAGCATCTGGCCTTGACATTTGTGACCTTCCCTCTGGCAATGGCTCCCAGTCACCCCTCAGCACTGCTGTTCCCTCTCCAATCGTGCAGTCTCGGTATTAACAGACTCAAGGCCAGGCTAGATTTAGGGAAAGGGAAGAGCTTTTACCTTCTTTAACATTCTCAGTGCTTTTGTAATCCTCTTTTTTCCATAACGGGGCCCCCGTCAGCCTGTCCTGGGCTGGCTTTCTCATTTGTTAGTGGCACCTCCAAAGCAAACCTGCTAGGTGCCTCTGTGGCTCCAGCCTTTACCGGAAACATAGTGCATGATTATAACTCCAGGGAAGAGCTGTCCTGCCACTGGGGGTGGAGTGAGCATGTAAAAGGGGCCCCTCCCATGCCTCCTTCCCAAGCATCTCCTGTTCTGACTGCTGATGAATTGAACAGACTGACCTTTGCGATCATTCTGCTTCCTCTGACGTTTCCATCATGGTCTCAGCAATCGCCATGGGAATATGTAAAGGGGCCACTGTTGGAGTGTCTTCTCCAGGGTAGATTGGTCCCCTTCACTCCCCTGTCCCCTGCCATAGCCCAGGCATGCTGTGACTTGGCTAGAACTACACATGCTCCTAACCTTGAATGCTGGATGCTGGAGGAACAGCTTGATTTTGACGCAGAGATGCCGCCACCCCAGAGAACACCTCTTGCTGTAAACAGTGATGTGCTTGCTCTCAGGGAATAAGCAGGGAGTCCCAGCAGCAAATGACACACCCATCCTGCTATGGGAAAGTAACCATAAAGCCTGGGAGATGGGTGAAGTCCCTTTCCGCAAACCTTTAAGGAGCCCTCACAAAGCCCTCCACAAAGATGCCACAAGTAGAGAACACCTCCCGTTCCCATAGCTACACATCAGCTGGCCTTTGGGACACATCAGGAGCCAGGGTTGGACCAGTGCGAGCTGAGCCTGTGTGTCTGCTGGGAGGAGACTTTCCCCATGTGCTGCCTTCTTCAGAGACGGAGTGGTTGCAAGCAACAGAAATCTGCCCCAACTAGCTCAGGCAAAAGGAGAATTATAAGAATATAAGAGCACAAAGTCCAAGGGCAGGAGATACATCCTGGCTGCACAAGCTCTGGGAGGGGGTGCTGGCAAGCCACAAGACACCAAAGTTTGTCTTTTCATCTGTCACTCTTCCTGACGCCACATAGCCTTTTGCGCACACTTATCTGTGGATGTCTCCTTCATGTTCCCCTGTCTGAAGCTGGCTTTCCCTGTTCACTCATCCCTTGATTAAATATGGACATTCCAGCTTCACATCCCTTCCTAATTCAGGGCCACCAGAGACTGACTAGCATCTTGCTATCCCACAACCAAATTGCACTGGGGGGTCCAATTTCGCTGCTCGGGTCAGAGCCACGTACATATTTATTGCCGCAAAGAACTTTGTAACAACCAACATTTTTTAACATGCCCTATTTATTAGGCATTATTTTAAGTGCATGATGGGCACTGTATCATTCTACCCTCACATTAGACGTTGAAGGTAGCTACTATTATTGTCCCCAATTTAGAGATGAGTAAATCGAGGCTTAAAAAATATAATTACTCACCCAAGGGCTTATAGCTTTTAAATGCTGGATTCAGGGCTTGAACCTACGTAGCCAGACATTGGAGCCTATGCTTTTAACTAGACACTGTATTCTGCCTCCATTTACACAACACACACACACACACACACAGCAGCATCCACATATTTGCATATGTATTGTGTATAACACATACACACCCACTCACAGACACGTGGGAGCATATACATACTCCCTGACACTCACATTTGGACAGACACCAATTTTCCAACATAGACGCCCTCACACATACACAGACACTGACATTCATAGACATACAGATGCTAACCTGTGTACACTGACTTATGCATGGTCGTCTAGAGGCAGACACATATGCAGACCTTGTATACACCTTAATACAGAAAAAAACCTCAGAGACACTCACATCCAATACTTATGCATGCCCATGTGTGCACATGCACACACATGTATGTATATAAACACACACACATACCTGCAAAACACAGGACCTGGATCCGACTCCCAGAGAGCCTGGACTCCAGCCATGTTTCCTCTCCCATCAGCTTGCTTCTCCCTGCGTCCTTGGTGCTGCCCAGCTGGGCACTGGGGCAAGATAAAGTCCAGCCCAGGGGCCCTGGACCCAGCACCTGAAAGTTCTGGAGAAAGATGTGGAGACAGCAAGAAGAAACATGACTCACTTCCAGGAAGACTGGCCTCCCAGTCCTGAGGGACCACCTGCAAGCAGCTGGTGGGGGATGCAGAGAGGCGTGGGGCAGCCCAGCCCTCCAGGAGCTTCAGGTCTGCTTGGGAAAACGGGTCGTGCCGATCGCAGGCAGCGAAAGCTACACAGTGTAACGCAGAGACAGACACTGCGAGACCCAGAGAAGGGCGACCTCAGCCCAGCCTGGGAGGAGAGGGAAGGGCTTGATCCCAGTCAGTTTAATCCCTTCATTTTACAGATGGAAACTGAAGTCCTGAAAAGAGAAGTGGCGTGTCCATCCCTAATCCCTTATAAGACGTGTTGTGACCAAGTGGGCATGAGGGGGCAGGGAGAAAGGTGGAGCTGGTCACCTGAAGGAAATTTGGAACGGGGACCCCAGATGATAAGTTCTACCTGACTTAACTCATTTCATAATCTCCCCTCCAGCCTCTTTCTCCTGTGAAGGGCTGGAAATCACCCTTGTATTTTTCTTCCTCAGCACATTAGATTCTCCCTTCTGATGCTTTATCAAATCCATGCACTTTTCTTCAACCCCATTGGCTCTGATCTTTTCCAGGCTACTGTCCTCTCTCACCTGGGCCACTATAATAGCTTTTCAAGTGGTTTATCTCCAGGATTCCCTCTCCCAACCCATTCTCTATTCTGCAGCTAGCAAGCATTTGAAGCAAAAGTCTGTTCCTTCTTTAAAGCCCAACAGCAGCTCTTCCTTCCATGCTTAGTGGACAGACCACATCCTCTGCCCCCCTGAGCCATTGCCTGACCATCCAGCCTTAGCTGTTATCCTTATGCCCTTCGTAACCTGTGTTCCGGCACCCCTGTATTTCTCATGGCGCCCTGAGCTGTTCCAGTTCTCCCTGCCCTACTTGTGCATGTGCTGTTCTTGCTGCCTGGAAGGCCCTTCCCCGCACTGGGGGTGCTAACTTCAGGACTCAACTTTGGGGCCATTTCTCCTGTGAAGCCCTCCTGCCCCACCCCTGTCCAGTCTAAAACTGATCACCCCCTACTGTGTGACCCCTGATCCACAGACCTTTATCGCATGTAGCATGTGCATTTGAAATTATCTGTTTTCACTTCTATCCCATACCCCCACCCTCCACCCCAGACTGTTAGTTTCTTGAGGGCAGGGACTTTGCCATATTCTAACATTATCGCTGAATAAATGAAGAAAGGGGCTGCATTGTTTCTGCTTTATCCTCTTGCCTCCTCAACAATCATGCTGTCATTTTCCCGGAAGGAAAGAAAGAGCTTCATAACAGAAATAAGACTTTCAGCCAAGTGTGGTGGCTCATGCCTGTAATCCCAGCACATTGGGAGACAGAAGCACAAGGATTGCTTAAGGCCAGAGGTTCGAGGCTAGCCTGGGCAATATAGCAAGATCCTGTTTCTACAAAAATGTTTTTTAAAAATTTAGCTAGGTGTGGTGGCACATGCCTGCAGTCCCAGTCTCAGCCTACTGGGGAGGCTGAGGCAGGAGGATGGCTTGAGCCCAGGAGTTCAAGGCTGCAGTGAGCTATGATCACACCACTGCACTCCAGCCTGGGCAACAGAGCAAGACCTTGTCTCAAAAAAAAAGAGGAAATTTTCCCACCTGGATAATTATGGTGAAACAGCCAAATCAGAATGTGAAATAGGAATTTTGGTTCTATCACAGACATTCACTCCCACTCTGCTGTCAGCCAACCTTACAGAGGGTGGATTTCTTTTTCCCTTAGTTCTCATCTTCTGTGGCTTCAGGGGAGGTTGGTTGGAAGTTTGAGTGCTGCTTTTCTTTTTCACTGAGCAGGGCTCAATGGAACCATCACAGTGGTTATTGATGGAGAGCAAGTTGAGAGAGCTCAAGAGCGATCACTATTTAACGGCAGGAGTGGGGGAACAAACCAATACAGAGCTTGGGAGACTAAGTCCCACACTTAATGCATGTGGCAGCCAATCGGCAGTCAAATCCTAGACAGTCCTAGAGAGAGACTTTCAAACACACAAGCATCGGGAACGGTGTTTCTTGTGGAGACCAGCCACAATACCGGATTCTGGGAGCTCCAGTCTGAGAGCAGAATTAGCTTCGTTTCATAGAATAACCCTGTAGGTTGACGGGGAGGGCAGGGAGTTGGAGGGACCTGGTTACACATATTTTAATTTCAGTGCCTAAATCTGGCTCCCCATTCACGGAGCGGAGCTACAATTTTAAAGGGAAGAACCCTTGGACTCTGGGCCCCAGACTATCCCTGAAAGTGTCCCCACTCCTTATATGTAAAATGGGAGCATCTCCTGCCCTAACAGCTCAGGTCATTGCTATAGAAATAAAGGAGAGGAGGACGTGGACCCACTTTCATACAGGTGATAACTGCAGCAGTATCACCATCCTCATTACTACTATTATTACTCCCACTTTAATGGATTAAGCTGCTTCTCACATCTCTTTAATTTGCCCTCTTACCTCCTAGATGTAACCAAGAGGAGGCCGTTTTAAAAAATCTTTGTGTTTGCCAGAAATAGGGCTCATGGGAGCATGTGGAAGGGACCTTCTCCTCCCTCAGCGCATAGGATAATACTTTATGGACAACTCAGTATGTGTAAACCAGTTGCCCAACATTTTAAATTTATCTGACTTAATCCTCACAATAGTCCTTTGGGGTAGGGGCTGTCTTTCCATTTTTCAGAGGAAGAAACTGAGGCACAGAGAGGTTTAAGGAACTCGTTAATGTCATACAGATAACACATTTTGCCATGTATTTAGTGCCTTTAGGTGAGTCAGCACTTCAAAGTTCACATGTAAAAGTCGAGGAAGGAAGATTCAGGAACAGTAGGTAACTTGCTCAGGGGTGCCCAGTTAGGAAGTGACAGAATCTAAGACTAGAACTCAGGTTGGCTTCAATGTGATTTGAGTGCTGTTTCTTCTTGCCACACTGCCTCTTTGCATGACCCCTGATGCTCCGCAATGACAAATAAAAACCTACCTCTGAATTGTAGCAAGATGTGTGTGTGTGCGTGTGTGTTCCTGCATGTCCACGTGTGCCTGTGTATGCACGTGTTTGTGTATGTGTGTGGTGGCAGCCACTAGTTCACTCTGACAAAGCTAAATGATAGTAAATCCATTCTTCCCGAGACGTTGTTAAGATTCTTTCACCCTCCACAGGAACTCGGAAGAATCACTGGCCCTGGGAGACACGGACGAGC